TTTTGGTGTTTTGAGGCAGGGTCTTTTGTAGCTTAGGATGGCCTTCAACTTGCTACACAGCTATTACCCAAGTGTTAGAATTAAAGTTTGAACTTTTCTCTTAGCAGTATTGGGGATTGAACCCCAGAACCTGGTACAGGAAGTGCTTTACCACTGAGTTATACCCCTAACCTTTTGTATTTCTACTTGGTAATAGGAAGCTTGGTACTTTTCATCCTAGAGCTGAAAGGGCCTGTGATTATGGATTTGCTCTAGGGAGATTTGTGTGTTTTCATACAGTTAAGCCACACCGCCCAGATGTCTTCAGATAAGGTTCAGTGTGTTAGAACAGTTATTTAGAAAGTAGTTATCTAGCAGCTCCAACAATTTCTTGGAATTTACTTAATAGCTAAACCCTGGACCTTCAAAGATATTTCCTGGTCACTGTACATATGTGTGACAGACTCAGTAGCATCTATTCCTGGGTCTCTAGGGTAGGCCTGTAGCAGAGGGCACTGCCTCATCTTCAAGGTCAAACTCAGAGACTTTTGGCCAGTGCTTGCTCAGGGTATTTCTGTAAATGTGCAGTCCACTACAACCAGACTTTAAATCCATGGTTTGTAATATTATTGCTTCAGGTGAGCAGTGACAAGTGTAAGTTTATTTAAAGAAAATATATAAGTAAAACTGCATACTGTTAAGTTAGTGTTATGTAAAAATGGCAAAAAAATGTGAAGGAATTTTTTTTTTGTGCATGCATTTTGGGAAATGGTGTTGAAACTGTGGAGGTTCTAGAAGGGGGCAGAAGGTAAACAGGATGCTTATTAGCACTTATTATAGACAATATTTTGCTGATTGCTGTCTAATTTAAACTTGTTTTAGCCTATGAAGTAAATATTGTCCATAATCTGCAGGTGACAAAATGTCAGTGAGTGGCAAAACTGAAGCCCATAGACCTCACGCCTCAGGATGGGAAAACAGAGAATAAGACCAAATAGACTGTGTGGAATGGTGTTTGTGTTGAGTTTTGGATCTGGTGCTGACTGAGCAGGTAATTCAGAATGGCTGGCTGCTTTTTTCCATGTTTAATGGGCTAAAGGGCTGACCACTTGGAGTTTGCGTTGTACATGCCACAAGCAAATACTTATAAACAGGCTAAGCCTTTTCAACGGAAGACAAAGGCAGATTGTTACATGACTATTTAAAAAATTCAGCCTAGCTCAGCAGTTCATCAGATCAAAGCCTATCTACAAAAAATAAAGCAGGTGTTTATGGGCAGCACCATTGTAATTTTATTCTATATAAAGTATTTAGTTTTCTTTTGATCAGCAATATTATTCTTTGAACTTAATTATGGGATTAGTAGCAGCTAATCACAGAAACCAGGCAAGAAACAGAAACGCAGATGAGGAAGGGAAACACTAGTTACAAAACAGGTTTCTAAAGAAAGTCTTGGTCACGTGAGGTGTACTCCTTTTTTTGCCTCAGGCTTCCAAATAAACCACTCCACAAATTCACATACTTTCACATATACTAGACACATATACAACTCACACCCACTCACCACACATGCACACACACACATACACACACACACACACAGAGGTATCCAAGCATACACAGATTCATATACCATGCATATTCAACTCATTCCCAAACACCACACCCCCAAAGAGGTACACATGCCTATAAATACCTGTTCACATTACTCCACATAGTCAAGTCAAATGTAAAGCCTCCCCACAGGTACTATACTCCTATACACACTTCATACACCACTTATACTCAACTCACACCCATTTGCTCACCCCCAGATACTACACACTGATTTACACATATCACTTCACATAATATACATAGTCAATTCACATAGGCATTACCCACACACAAACCACATACATTATCTCATGCCCACATGTGAGCACACACACATAGTCCAGGTCCTACATATATTCATACATTATTCCAGGCACCACACACACATAATTAACTCATACTTGAGACACACATGTACACACACCACTCTGCACATAGACCTGTACCACACAAATGCATGCTACTCCACACTCATCTACGTGTTCTCATACACATCACACACACATGCACCTCGAAGGTTCCATACACGTACTCCACACTCCACAAAGACACTCGTACAACTTGTATGTTTACTCTATATACCATTTACACTTCACAAATATACATGCTATTCCACTATAGCTCCCCTATTCACACCACCACCATACACACAGCCCCCTATATTCATGCATTAGAAACTAAGAAACAAGATAAGACTGTCTTTTTAAAGTATTTAATCTGTGACTGATATATCAAAGCAGAGATGCTATGCTGTCTTAAAGCCCTGTTTCTAAAGTGTGTGGGAGAACATTAAGAATGACCTGAAGCACTTAATAAAAACATTGTCTTGGCCTTGACCCAAATTCTGAGCAAAAGCACCAGTGAAAGTCTTGGAATTTGTGGATTTAATGTACCTCTTGGGGTCCTGGGTATAATTTAAAACAATTCTTTTTTTAGCTGTAATGGGGAACCTAGGACCTTACACATGCACTACCACTGAGCTATATCCCAGTCCTCTTTTTACTTTGTTATTTTTGAGAGTCTCACTAGGTTGTCCAGGATGGCCTTGAATTTACTCTAGCCTAGGCAAACAGTGAACTGGTGATCCTTCTGCCTCAGTCTCCTGAGTAGCTTGTATTATAGGCCTGAGCCATTAGGTTCTGGATATAATCCCATTTTCCCTAAGACCTATGATTATACTTCAGGACCCCTCCCAGAGCCCTGTGCCATCTGGGTTGGTGGAAGAAGCACCTGTCTCTGCTCTAATATTGGGGTCCCTTCTAAGCTAGGGTCAGTCAGTTTGGGGTGGAAGAGAGGACCTTAGTCCCTATCTTTTAGCCCTGTCTCTATCTGTAATTTCCTAAGCAGAAAACACACTAGTGCTGAACTTGATCGCTAAGAAAAGATCGGGATCAGAGAATGCACTCTGGCTTGAAGGTGTCTCATGGCCATCTTGCCCTCCTGCTCCCTGCAGGACAGATGTGAGAAGAGAGGTGGGATGACTGCTCCTGCAGGAACATTTGGAGTAGCAGGGGGCTTTACAAATGACATCAAAGGGTTGGATTTCTCCAAGGAACCCCAACCCCCATCCTCCATCCTTTCCCTACTGTACCTGAGTCATAAAGAAGGGAGAAGAGAGAATGTCATAGACCTCTATTTCACTATGTAGCCCAGGCTAGCCTTGAACTCCTGATCCTCCTGACTCCACTTTCCAACTGCTGGGATTTGGATCTGTGTTGCCACACTTGACAGAGCTTTTCTAAGGCTGTATAATACTTTTTTGGGTGTGCTATGGTAGATGAAAAGAGAAGATGGTTTTGGAAAATTGTAATCATAAGAGGAAGAGATAAAGATGTGGTAAAATATTAGTGAATTAGGCAGTTAAGTGATACTAATAGTCACACAAATGCATGGTGCCTATAGATTCTGTGATTCTTTTTTTTAAAGTTTTATTTTTTAAAATTTTAAAAAATTTAATAACCACATGATTAGAAGAAACATTTCATTACAGCTTTAACATATTCAGTAACACATTCCAGAGCAAGGATACATCTCTTTCAAAAGTGGCTGTAAATTTTTAGGTTCACAGTTGAATTAATACAATT